CCCCCCCCCCACCATCTAGAAGCCATTAATTGATCGACAGAACATCCTCTCGAAGGCAAGTCCGCAGGATTGTGTTCACCCGGCACATGATACCATTCGTCGCAACTGGACAATTTACGAATTTCTTGTACCCTGTTCAGAACGAACACCCCCCATTGCGACTGCCTCTTTATCCACGCGAGAACAGTAGTAGAGTCGCACCAATAATATTTCTTCACGCTATTTAGTTTAAGTGTTTCTACAACTGAGTGGGTTAAGCGTGCGGCTATAGTAGCTCCTAATAATTCTAGTCTCGGAATAGTACAAGTTTTCACCGGCGCAACTCGGACTTTCGATTGTACAAATTTAACACGCACCCCTAAGTTATTTTCGATCCGTATAAATATTACGACTGCATACGCCATCTGACTGGCATCGCAAAACGTATGAATAGTTATAAGGTCGTCTCTTCCCAATTCTCCCAACAAGCACCTCGGTATTTCAATTTTGCGTAAATTATCTAGCTGTCTTACCCATTTTAAAAATTTATTTTTTATCTCATCCGTTACTTCATCATCCCAAGATAGGTTCTTAGCCCATGCCTCTTGTAACAATAACTTTGGGTAAAGGGTTATTGGAGAAGCGACGCCTAAAGGATCGAATATACGATGAGCAAGGGATAACATTGATCGTTTCGTGACAACGGTTTCGTAAAGTTCATCTAAACATGGTACATTTATTGACAAAACATCTTTGTTTTTATCCCAAATTATACCGAGCACGGGAGATTTGTCGCTATCTAGAGAATCACCTGAAAACTCCCACCCTCTGAGCTCAAAGCCACCGGTTTTCATTACCATCTTAGCATCCGATATAAACGAGCTTATTTCATCTACGTTATTAACGCTTGTTACAGAATTGTCCACGTAAAAACTCTCGGACAATTTTGTAATATTTCTCGGACAATACTTCATTGATTCTCGAGAAAGCTCATCCTGCATAACGCGTTTTAAATGCAGATCGATTACGGCGCCTAATAAAAACGGACTGCACGATACTCCAAAGACTACCCTGGCATGGCGTAAAATAATAACCTTACCCGATTTATCGTACCACAAGAATCTTAAAAAGTCGCGATCCTTCGGATGTATGCTGATTTGCAAAAACGCCCGTTTAATATCAGAAATAACACCGTATTTACATTTTCTAAAACGCAACAGTATCGAAGGGATGAGCTCGATTAAGTTCGGGCCTATTTCCAAACACTGGTTTAGCGATGGTGACTTTTCGTGGGACGAAGCGTCGAACACTGGCCGGACTTTTGTTGAACTGTTCTCTTTTAATACTGGTCGATGAAGTAAATAATGGCCCCATTTAGTCACTTCACTCGCAGGAACTTGTTCGATAATACCGTCACTTTTCCACTCATCGAAAACTTGGTCGTACTTTTCGAAAAGATCGTTCACTTTTAATTTTCTGGTTGTAGATTCCAGGCGTCTAATTGCGAGTTCTCGATTATTTTCTAAGGTAGGGTGATTCTCTCTCCAAGGCAGTTGAACCTCATAACGTCCATCTTCATTGACCTTGACATTTTCCAAAAATGCAGACAGTATTTTATCTTCATGATCTTTCTTGGATTTGCTTTCAAATGGATCTTTGATATCCAGCACGTCCAGCTCCCATAAATCGGAAATGTCAGCCTCTTTAACGAACAACGAAATAGTCGTTAAGCTTGAGTCTTTACGTTGTCCATCACTCGGTAT